TATATATATATATATATATATACTCATAAGTTTTCATTCTTGGATGTAGCTGTAATTATTTATTTATTTGTGACATGAATGTTTTACCTTGAGCACTAGAATATGCTTCTTGTGACTAATCAATTAAATTAATTAATGAGTTGGTGATTAACATATAATTAGGAATTATTTTTACAAGTAAATAGCAAATTATGATACATAAATATGTAATTATTGCGAGTGAGTGCTGATGCATGGTGGACTGCACCAGTCAGGTTTGTCTTTCTCTATCTGATTTTCCTTCTGTACTTCTTTTCAAATTCTTCTAAACACAGAGAAAGAACATCTCTCTCTCTCTCTCTCTCTCTCTCTCTCTCTCTCTCTCTCTCTCTCTCTCTCTCTCTCTCTCTCTCTCTCTCTCTCTCTCTCTCTCTCTCTCTCTCTCTCTCTCCCTCTCTCTCTCTCTCTCTCTCTCTCTCCCTCCCTATTTAAATATAATTTATTCTATTATTGCATGTGTAATAATACTTTTGTTGCTTTGCAAATCCATTGTCATTTATTTATTTTCAATGCTTTTATTTAGGAGAGAATTGACTATTCTGTAAGAAACTATTAAGCAGCTTTTATTTATTTTTGAAAATGAAAAACAAAAAAAAATAAGGGAGTAACTAAGTAACTGTGGTACATTTAATTTGCAGAAGCTACTACAAATGTACACATAGTAATTGCAGAGTGAAGAAAAGGGTTGAGCGGCTGTCGGAGGATTGCCGGATGGTTATTACAACCTACGAGGGGCGGCACAACCACTCTCCCTCCGATGATTCTAATTCCGACGATGCTTTTACCTCGTATTGAGTATTATTTCATATATCCATTTATATTATATATATACGTCAAATATAATTTATATATTCTACATTTGTTTCATGAATAACATTTATTCATATATGTTGAGAATTTCTTTAGGGGCATATATATACTTGCTTTTGTTTAATTTTTATTTATTGCATGAGTTTTTTTTTTTTAATATTTGTAGTGAAATGTCTTATTTTTTTTGTTCAAATAGTGACTTCTATAAAATGCAGGATCAACTTAATTATAACAACTTATAAGCTTTTAAACTTCTTATTAGATATTTTTAGTGGCTCATAAACTTAGCAAAACAGGCTCGAAAACCAAGGACAAATTACGGCCATATCCTGAGGTAATGTTAAATTACGAAAAAAAAACTTCTACTTAGTTGGGTAATTGCAATCACTCGCCTTAACTATGTATTGTCTTACACGTCTTTATTTTGTCAAATTTATCTACTGAAATAGGGTTTTTTTCGTAAGACGATACATAGTTGAGTGATGGTTGGAATTACAGATTACCTAAATAAGAGTGAATTTTCGTAATTTAACCTTACCTCAGGGACAATAGTCGTAAATTGCCCTAAAACTTATGATGACAAGAAATGGGTTGGGCTCTGCTTCTATACTAAATTACGTAACCAAACGAGGTAAACAATCTTCCAAAATATTCTCATCCAAATTTTGGGCTCACATATTCTGTGTTGGCCCAATCTTTAGGGGGGCCAGGCGAAATTAATCAAAAGTTGAGGCACCTAAATGAAAATTGGTTGACAATTAATTAGGAAGAAACTCTAAGTAGAGTTACACCTCTATAAATTAATACGAACGAGGTCGAGATAGTCAAATTGTATTAATTTAGCGAAATTTTAATCTAACTAGATAATTTTTAGCACGATTTGGGACTGAGAAAACAAATTATTTAAACAAAATTGTTAATTTATCGATGTTCTATTGAAGAATTGAGAGCAAATATAACCGATTTTAGGCACTAATCCAATGAGTTTATTTATGCTAATCCAGTTTGAAGTATAACCAAAATTCACAAGAATTCAAACATCAAAAATAAAATCCAAAAAAGAAAATAAATATTACTAAAAAAAACAAATAAAATAAAAAAATAAATAAAAATCAAACGACGAACTCCTTGATGAAATTAAGAATGGCGGTTGCCCTTCTGGTGTCGATCATGTCAATTCCATGGAATCCGACATCGTCGAAACGCGCCTCCACCTGCACCCCTTGCTCCACCAGCATCTGCACAAATTCCTGCTGCCGATCGATTAGCGGATCGCCGCCGAACCCTATCACCAGACACCTCCCCAAACTCTTCACCTTCTGCTTCATCGGCCCGTCAACGAACGGGTTGCAGAACCGGTGGTCCCGATCCGTACCCGGCGGAAGCGCCAATTCCCAAAGCAGATCGATCACCGGCAGCGGGAAATACGGATCTGTGGCGAGCTTCAGCTCGCTCTTCGTCCGCTTCTTCCCTCCGAAGAACGGCTGGTTGAGTACGACGCCGGCGACTCTCATCGGCGGCGGCTTTATCTCCATCATCCGGAGCGCCGTGTTGAACACGATGTTGGCGCCGCAGCTCACGCCGTACAGGTAGCACCGATCTAGGTCGCCGTGGTCGCGGATCCACCTCTCGCCGCGGTCGCGGTCGCCGGCCTGGCTCTTCACCCACAGGACGGCGTCCAACGCGTCGTCGTACTGCGACGGGAGCCGGCTCTCCGGCGCGATCCGGAACTCGACGGAGACGACGATGGCGGATACGTCGGCGGAGAGGCGGTTGCAGGTCTCGTGGTTCAATGCGTCGGAGATGCTCATCTGGATCCAGCCGCCGGCGTGGAAGAAGAGTATCACCGGGAGGCGCTTGCCGGACGAGGGGAGCTTCGCCGGGCGGTAGATCCGCATCCATGTCTTCTTGTCGGCGTTCAGTGTGATGTCTTTGCTGAGGACGGCGTGTTGTTGAGCTTGGCCGCCGTCGTCGCCGTCGACGTCGCCGGTGGCGGTGGAGCTCGGGAGCTTCAGGAAGCGCGTGAGTGAACCATCTGGATTGGGGAAAACTTTCAGGTGATCGTAAGGGTCGAATTTTGACATTATTTTTTTATTATATAAATAAAATAAATTTTATTTCACTATTTTATAAATTATATTTCTTCATCTTTTTAAACTGGTAATTTTCCCCCTCAATAATTGGGGAAATTAAGGGGCCGTCTTAAACTTCGTTAATCAGTGGTGATTAACACACTAATACTATTTGAAGGGTGGGATTAGTTACTAATCACATTTTCCTCTGTCTTAGAATGTCTTGATGGTATTATACTATTATTATTTAAAAAAATATATATATCTTTTGATATTTTTAGAAATGTAAATCGATCTATTTCTAAAATGGACCCATAACGCTCGTTGAAAACTCGTTCGAGCTCGGTTTGTAATTATAATATATCATTTTTTTTAAATTATAATGAATTAAACCTGATATGAAGCTCGAGTCGGACTATAAGTATAATGAAGTATGTATAAAAAAAATGAAGTTACTAAAGTTAACACAAGTTTTGAAGCTCGATAAAATTTCAAACATTTATACAGTTATGCGTCTAATTCGACCCGACTCGATTCATTTACACCCACACCCCAACTATTATTATTGAACTGAAAATTTGCTTTGTTTGTACGCAGTGTGCACACATCCGTTGACCAGATTATATAGACTATCTTTGACTTCCCCACAAATTAAACTTGTCAATGGTAATATCTAACACGTTTTCAATTGTCTCTATAGTTGAATATATGTCCCTTTGAAAAACTAAATAATCACATTTTAATTCAGAATAAAAGGTATATTAAAAATGAATTAAAGGCATATAATATAATCACAAGTATGGAAAAATTGCTGATTGAGGCTGCTAAAAAGGGAGATGTTGAGAAACTAAATAATTTAATCAAAGATGATCCTTTCTTGTTGAGGGCCGTTGCATTATCCGACGAAGAAAATCCGTTACACATTGCTTGCATCCGAGGGCATCTCGATTTCGTTAAGGAGCTGCTGAATCAACGGCCGGGATTCGCCAAAGAGTTGAGTAAAGACGGTTTTACCCCTCTGCACGTTGCTTCGTCTTGCGGTGATGTAGAGATTGTGAAGGAGCTGTTGAAAGTGGGGGGGTTTCATCTTTGTCTTGTGAAAGGGAGAGAGAAGAGAATCCCTCTTCATTGCGCGGTTTCGAAAGGCAGAGTTGAGGTTATTACGGAGTTGCTATCGGCTTGTCTGAATTCTGTCGCGGAAGTTACGGCTCGAGGCGAAACTTGCTTCCATCTTGCGGTGAAAAATAACCAATTCGACGCGTTTAAGGCCTTGTGCGAACACGTTGTTTCGTTCGGTAAAGAGGATGTATTGAACAAGAAAGACGAACAAGGGAACACCGTTTTGCACCTTGCTTCATCAAGAAAGCAATATGAGGTAAAATACATCGATTCTTTTTTTTTTATATGATAGATTTTATTGGAGATATAAATATTACCTTACCGACGTACATATATATTTTTATTTATTATTTTGATTAATTATAATCGGAAATTTGTTATCAGGTTATCGATTTCTTGATGGACAAGGATCTTGGTTACAAGGGCAAATTGGAGATGAATTCTTTGAACAAAAATGGACTTACTCCACTAGATGTGTTGATATCACAAGGTGGTGATTGTGAAATTGAGGAAATACTTAGTTCATATGGAGCTACACGAGTTCAAGAAACGAACCCATTTCTTGAAATCCCGATAGAAAACCCGCGGGACGAACGAAATACGGGTCGGGGTCGACCCAAATCCGCCTCGAAGAAGCTTCAAGAATATTTCAAGTATGACAAGATTAAAGAGTCTCCAAGTGACGCTCGGAACACATTGCTAGTGATCGCCGTACTAATCGCCACCGCCACTTACCAGGCGGTGCTCAGCCCACCTGGCGGCGTCTGGCAGGACGACTTCTCTCCGGATAACAATGTCGTCAAAACGCCACCGCGGCACACCGCCGGAAAGTCGGTGATGGGGACTCAGACCGCGATCTCGTTCGGCCTTTTCTTGATCTTCAACTCCGTCGGGTTCTTTATGTCGCTGCACATGATGAATTTCTTGACCAACGGGCTTCCTATGCAGTTTGAATTGAGGGTCGCGCTTTTTGCGTTGTTCGCGACTTACGATGTTTGCATGGTGGCGATTGCGCCTAGCGGGATGATATCCGTGTTTTTCGTGGCGGTGTCGGTGGTGATGTCGCTGGTGGTGCCGATGTTGACCAAGGTCGTTAGAGATCATAACAAGTGGTGGCGGCGAAGCGAATTGCCGGCATAGTACATATAGTTGATGCAAGAAAATCAACTGATTCATTCGATATGCAATAATAATTTTCGTCTGTCCCGGCTGTAATATTCTGCTAAATTTATAAATTTTATTAGTCACGATCAGAGTTTATTAATTTGTAGAGATTTAACTGTATTTCGAAAATGTGGTTAAATAGACAACTCATCAATCTAAATAACAACATTTCTTACATTCTTATATATAAGTTACAAAACATTAGATAATCAAAACCACACATTGAACACAACATTCCCTCCAATAACACAAGCATGCACTTTCATACAATTACACATGTAAAACTTATCCCTCCTCAAATACCGACAGCGGCCACCGAGCTCGACGACTCGCACCGCCGCCACCCCTTCCTATAATCCCTGACCACCATGGTCAACAGCGGCATAACTATCGGCATCACCACCGACAGAGCAATAAAAAACACAGACACGTATCCACTAGGTGTGATCGCCACCATGCAAGTATCGTACGTCGCTACTAACGCGAAAAGCGCTATCCTCAGCTCGAACTTCATCGATAGCCCTTGCGTCAGAAAATCCATCATGTGCAGCGACATAAAAAATCCGATCGAGTTGAACAGCAGAAACAAACCGTACGAGACTTGATTTTGGGTCCCCATCACCGCCTGCCCCGCCCTGTGGCGTTTCCCGGCGGTGGCGGCGGTGGTGCTGTTTTTAGCATCGGTCCCCGGCGTGAAATCGTCCTGCCAGACGCCGCCGGGCGGGCTGAGCACCGCCTGGTAAGCGGCGGTGGCGATTAGCACGGCGATCACGAGGAGTGTGTTTCGAGCTTTGCTCGCAGACTCTTTGGTCTTGTCGTACTTGAAGTAGTCTTGAAGTTTCTTCGACTCGGATTTGGGTCGACACGTATTTCGTTCCCCTTGCGGGTTTTCTATCGGAATTTCGAGAAACGGGTTCGTTTCTTGAACTCGTGTAGCTCCATTTAAAGTAAGTATTTCCTCGATTTCGCAATCACCGCCTTGTGATAGCAACACATCTAGTGGCGTGAGGCCCTTTTCGTTTAACGAATTCACCTCCAATTCGCCTTTGAACCCGAAACTCTTGTCCGTCAACAGATCTATAAACTGATAACATATTTCCCATATGAATTAACCATAACAAAAAAAAAAAAAAAAAAAAACTGAAATGTTAAATGTCGTTTCAGTTTTAGTGATACCGTTTCAACTTCAAATATCGTGAAACACCAAATTTGTTGTTCTTTCAGTTAACTTTCTAATTCCACTTGAATCAGCTAAATTGTATGTCAGATGAAAGAATCACGCATAACTTTGTTGTATCGAGTAATATTAGATTCAGACTGTAACTCGTTCAAGCATAACTTTCTCAATCGACATCCAATCTAGTTTATTCAAGTTGCAATAGAAAGCTGACTCAAAGAACTACAGATTTGACGCTTTTTGAGTTTTGCCAAATTCATACTAAAAAATGGTCAGAATGGTCAAAATCACATTTGAAATCGAACAATACCACAAAAAAAATAAAAAACAAGTACTAATTAAATCACCTCATATTGCTTTCTTGATGAAGCAAGATGCAAAACGGTGTTCCCTCGTTCATCTTTCTTATTCAATAAATCCTCTTTATCGAACGAGACCACATACTCACAAAGGGTCTTAAAAGCTTCGAATCGGTTGTTCTTCACAGCAAGATGAAAGCAAGTCTCGCCACGAGCCGTAACTTCCGCGATCGAATCCAGACAAGCCGATAGCAGCTTCGTAATAACCTTAACTCTGCCTTTCGAAACCGTGCAATGAAGAGGGACTCTCGTCTCTCTCCCTTTCAACAAACAAAGACGGCTCCCACCGACTTTCAACAGCTCCTTCACAATCCCTACGTCGCCGCAAGACGAGGCGACGTGCAGAGGGGTAAAACCGTCTTTACTCAACTCTTCGGCGAATCCAGGCCGGTGAGTCAGCAGCTCTTTGACGAAGTCGAGATGACCTGCGATGCAAGCAATGTGCAGCGGAGTTTCTTCGTCGGATAACGAAACGGACCTCAACAAGAAAGGATCTTCTTCGATCAGATTTCGGAGTTTTTCGACATCTCCCTTTTTAGCAGCATCAATCAGCCTTTTGTCCATTGCAATTAAATTTTTTGCCCACTTGTTTTTTGTTAATGGAAAATCTGATCAATATGAAATTCAGATTTCAACTATAGGATAAATTATATATATATGAGAGACAAGACATGTTCATCTTGCAAGAGAAATGTCACTTTGAAGAATTCAAAGGAGTGATATTATATTCAGGGTAAATTACGGCCACGCCCTTGAGGTATTCTCAAATTACAAAAAGATTCCTCATGTTTTGATAATTACAATCACCTCCTCAACTATATATTGTCTTACACGTTCGCCCCTACGGTTTCAAATTTACCAACTGAATGAGGGAATTTTCGTAATACAATTATAGTTGAGGGATTTGGTTGTTATTATAAAAAATAAAGTATTTTTTCGTAATTTAAGCTTATATCAAAGGGGTGGGAATCGGAATTAGTACTTTAGAAACAAAATATATTTTCTTCCGAAGTATAGAACTAATTTTGATTTTGTTGCAAAAAGGCTAGGAACAATCGGAAATTCGATTTAAAAAAAAAAAAAAAACTGAAAAAAAAAATCGACGATATTCTATTGTTTATTCATGAAATATTTGGAAAAAATAAAATTCATAATTTTCGAAATTGCTTTTGGAAATTAAGAAAATCGAATTTGAATTCAGAATTTCTTATATATTTCGGTCCAAAAAATTTCAGATAAATCAAAAATTAAAATTTGACAAATTTTTAATGATAATATTGTTCGAAAATCGATATTTTCAGATCGAAACCGCCATAAATTGAAAATTATTTTCCAACTCACACCATTTATTAATTAGATTTAGAGCAAACAAATGCATTTCAAGATTAGTTTTAATAGATTTTACAAAATAAAATAAATAAATAAATAAATATTGAAAATATTGAGATTTAGTATGTAAGAAATAGTATATGGAACTTGGCTGAAAACTAGTACTAATACCAAAAAAAAAAGAGAGAAAAAAAAAATAGAAAGAAAGAAATGAGAAAAGCCACGAGGACACGCCTCTGGAGTTGCGCACGTTAACAGCGCACACCATCACCCGGCGTACGTTAGCGTCCCCCTCCCTAAGCGGTGGCCTCTCATCTTTCTAGATCCTCCAAGTCAGCCCGTCTGCCGCCCCTTTAACAACCCTACCCCACCGCACCATTCATTATGCCACAACCACCTCCTCCTCTATTCTGCCCCAGATCTCTTCTCCTCCGCCTTCCGCCGCCCTACCTAAATCATGTCCACCACCTTATCCCCATCCTCCCACGACGACGACCACCACCACCACCACATCCCCACCGCCACCCTAGCCCTCCCCTCCTCCGCCGCCGCCACCTCCTCCGCCTCCCGCCGCCTCCCGCCGCCGTGCTGGTCCCCCGACGAGACCGTCGCCCTAATCGACGCCTACAGAGACAAGTGGTACTCCCTCCGCCGCGGCAACCTCCGCGCCAACCACTGGCAGGAGGTCGCCGACGACGTCGCCTCCCGATGCCCCGCCAGCCCCCCCAAAACCGCCGTCCAGTGCCGCCACAAGATGGAGAAGCTCCGTAAGCGCTACCGCGCCGAGATCCAGAGATCCGCCGCACACGGCGGCGTCCGCCGCTACACCTCCTCCTGGGTCCACTTCCACATCATGCACGCCATGGAGAAGGGGCCCAACCCCACCCCTCCGTCGTCCGACGACGACGATGAAGAAGAAGAAAACGACCACAGGAACAGCATCAAACGCATCAACGATTTATACAACCACAATCAAAAAGGGGGTTTCGCCGCTCCAGACCCGCCCGAGACCAACGGGTCAACAAGCGGGTTCCGGATCAAGATCCCGGGTCGGGTCACCTCCGCGGGTGGTGGTGTTCCCACCGTAGCCAAGGTCTATTCCAAATTCGACGAGATGGGTAGTGGCGGTGGCCCAAACCCTAATTACCCTAACCCTAGATTTACCAATTACACCACCGGTGTGAACGGAGCTGCCGCCTCTAGTAAGGTTTCGAGAGATGGATTCGTAGGAAAGAGGGCAGCGGCTGAGCCGTCGAGCAAAAACAAGGCTGATTCCGGGGTGGGTGAACTGGTTTCAGCTATACAGGGATTGGGGGAAGGGTTTATGAGAATGGAGAAGGTGAAAATGGATATGGTTCGGCAAATTGAAGAGATGCGAATGGAAATGGAGTTGAAACGAACAGAGATGATTCTTGAATCGGAGCAGAGGATTGTGGAGGCATTTGCTAAGTCGATATCCGAGAGAAATACAAAAAGGGCGAAGAGGAATTCGAATACACCCGAGTGCTGAAAGTTCGATTTTTTAATTTATGATATCTTCAATTTGGTTTAAGGGATGAAGGAATGGGGATATTGGATTGTGTATCTATCTATCTATCAATCCCTTGTGTATTTAAGAGTTGGGAAGGCGGGTTTCGTTTGCTACTCAGGTTACGTTTCGACTCTCTATATATCTATTTAATTTGTCAAACTTTTAGATATTAGGTATTTGGAAGTTGAGTTTAGTGCTATAGCTATTATTGTAGCTTTGTTTCTTGAATTTGTTGTAGCTTCTTGACTTTGCATTTCGATCGAATTATTCAAAACCTATGGTCTCGTTGAGTATATGTAGATCAGAGTGTTTTTTTCTTCTCTTCAATGTTTAATTTATACAGATTACATTATTGCAATTTATGTTTTTTCTGATGTTAAAAGTTTCGTGTTTTCGGAGTTTTATGTTTAATGTTGTTGAGCACATAATTTATGAGCTTCTGCCACTTTCTAGATAGATTTGGTAAATCTATTGGAGTTGTCATTATAAGCACTACTCAGATGTACAAAGTTGTGTATATGAGATAAACGAAATTTCAGTAGACTACTTTTCGAAATGTCATACAGCAATACAGAGACGAGACCAACAAACGTTTACAAGATTGTAAAAATCCCTTTTTTGCAATCACTCATTAATCAAGCTCAAGATCGAAAAAAACCACAAAGTTTGACAGAGGAGTAAAGCTCAAAACAGTCAAATTAAACATCTGAAGATTGAAATAGCTCTTCAACTTCTGCAATGATGCTTCGGGCTTCATCGATTTCAGAACCTTCCTTTTCGCCCGACTCTTCCAGCTCAACCTGCCCCCGATTAGATTGCATGTTAATTTAAATTTTAAATAAGCAATTTCAAGTCGAAATCAATGTAATGAATGGGTTCATCCAATCTCATAGACATTCAGAATTATAATTTTAATAAACTACATTGCTCGCGACGAAAACAAATATCAGAAATATTTAGCCTTCATAGATTAAATAATTGCATTTCAAGAACAACGCGAATTCTAACCAATTGGCCCAAACATGAGAGGAATGCAATCGACCATAAACTCTTACTTCTATCCATGCAAATCGTCATGATTTTTAATAAAGATTCATCGGCAACAGAAAGAATTATTTAGACTAATACACACACACACACACACACACACACACACACACACACACACACGGCGTACCAAAGTTCCTTTAAGGTCGCTTAGAGCAGACTCTAAGCGTTTGTGGCAGTCGGGAACCATCATCCTTGATTCAGCCAGCACATTTTCCTAAACGAAATCCATCAACGTATAAGTTTAATCAAGCAAAAACAGAGACGAATAAACAAGAAAATATTTGATTCGATTTAAGATTTATAATGAGCGTTTAAAATCAATGTGATCGACTTGACCCCAGCCCAAAAAGATATAACTTGGGTTTGCTCGAACTTCCGCATCACTTGTATCACTTAACCTCTTTGATCAAAATTCATCTCTAACAAAGTGTTGAGATGTAAATAAAAGGAGTTCGACCATAACCGTAATATGAATGTTGTCAAGTTTGCAGATTCAGTAGGTTTGTTCGAAATTTCCTGCTAATTCACTCTAAAGGCCAAGCCCATATCATTAGGTTTCCGTTAATTTCACGAACAATAATCGGAAAACAAGTACCCCATCAAACTAACATCCTTTGATGAAACGAAAATAGCAAGGCAACAAAATCCAACAAAAAAGCATCAAACTGAAATCCAATTATCCAAAAGCAACAAAAAATAGGGCATTTCTGTAATTCTCAATCAGCAGTCAGCACAATTAGGCATTTCGAAAAAAATGAAATTACCAGAAAATCGGGCACACAGTAACACGCAATTGAATGTGAAAAAATTGGGGATAAAAAAACAGAATTGTGAGTGAATTAGGGCACAGAATTGTATACCTGCTGTTTGAGGTCATAGGGATCGGCGCCTTTGGCCTTCATATCGGCGGTTTTAGCAGCCTCTCTTTCGACCTCGATCTCGTATGAATGGAGCTCCTTCACTATTCTCTTGCACGTTGATGTTTTTATCTTCAAATTCCTCACTGTTGCCATTTTTTTTTCTGATCACCAATTCAAAAATCAAGCTTTCTGTTAGGGTTTCAGTGATTAATCCCCAAATGAAGAGAGAGAGAGAGAGAGGGCGGGGTAGTGGTGTTATGGCAGCTCAGATCTAAGGTTTGATTTGAGGAGAAGAGTGTTGTTTTGCACACAGTGACCGCCAGATATTCTTTTCGAAAAAGAAAATAAAAATAGAAAAAAATAATAATTTAAAAACTATATAAATTCATATTATATTATATATTAAATTATATATTAAATTACTTTTGGCCCTGCAAGATTAGACTATTGGGCCTCCGGTAAGGTGGTGTTTGCAAAAGCTTTGTGGATTGAACTAGTTGTGGATTGTGAGTTCAGTTGATTTCAAGTGTTTATTTTTAAAAAAGTTGGGGGTGTTTGTAAATTTCCTAGAAAATAAACTTGTATAGAAAAAAGGGTCACGGGTGCTTAACAAATTATAGCTTACAGTTGCTTATTTTAAGAGAAACAAAAGTAAAAGTTCATTTTACAAACACTTAAAAATGGTTATGAGCAAAAAAAAGAGCTTATAATCTATTTGTAAAAGCTTTTGCAACACCACCAAAGGTTTACGACATGCTACCAGGTGATTTTGCATCATAGATTTATACAAATAACTACCCACTAAGCATAAATATACATGTGTGTTATTATATGTAAATCAATGTTGCATGATCACCTGATATGTTTCACTGGGTACAATATCTACAAAACGGGAAATTAATCAGGCTTCAAGTCTATTATTTTGTGAAAAATTAATTTTTTATTCATTTATTACTCCTTTATAATTCAAAGTGAACAAATTTTTAAACATAAAATTATTAATATGTGACACATTAACTATCTTCATTAGGCTTGATCACTCACAACTAATAGCCAAAATTCATGGTTTCTGCATGTGACCAGAAAATTAGGGCTCAAATCGAGGATCTTTTGTTTATGGATGGAAATTAGAATGGAAATTACGAATTTTGTTGATTCCGATTCAAAAGGTTCGTGTTTGGGACAATATTTTTTCATTTTGATAAAGTTCCGATTCCCAGTTTATATTCGGTTCGATACTAATTTCGAAAATATTTACGAAGATTTCTGTTTTTCCAATTTACTAAAAATATACACTTTTAACCCAATATTATTGTGTATATGTTGTTTTCAAGGTGATATAAAAAAAAAAAAAAAACAAGAATATTAAGGTTCCGTCAATTCTCATCCGTAAACTTTCGATTCTGGAACAATTTTCACAATTTCAACTTTTGAAATTCCGATTTTCAATTTTTTAGATTCTTTTAGTGGGAACATAATCGGAATTAATTTTTCATTTTGAAAAAAAATAAAAATTAGTCCGTTCCGATCCAATTTCACCAAATTCGAGCGACCCTTTCCTCAAGCCAAAAAAACTCAAATCAATTCAAAACATAACCAATTTCAATTCTAGGAATGTAAACCTCCATTCTTCATATTTTTAACAAATACACACACACATATTGATATATATAAATATAAAAAAAAAATTGAAAAATCTAAGTGGTCCAAGAATTAATACAAGCTGTATGTTCCGACCACTTAAAATTCTCCCTATCATTAAAATTCTTAAACCTCTTCCAATCCCTTAAAACGTTCTTTAAATCAGCGACTTTAGCTCTAATACTTTTGCAGCAATTTGCATGCACTGTTGCTACTACCCCAACATCTCTACTATCTCTGCAAAACCCACTTATATATAACGTGTCAAGAAATCTCACACTAATTCCCAATTTTCCGAAAATGCCCTCCCTCACTAGATTCAACAACACGTCTTGCTCTTTCAGCCCCGTCGAATTCTTCCTCCGGTCGTACCACGTCTCGAATAGCGAGATCGTCCTTTGGTTCGATTTTATGAAATAGAATCCCGTGTTGACTAGGTTGTTCTCCGAGTGCGGGTCCCCGTTGAAGTCGTCGGTGCTTATTTGTAAGTCGAGTGTTTGGTTGTCGTTGCTCAATGTTGCGAACGGATTCCTTAGCCATATTATATCAGTATCCTATATAAAAAAAATTAAAAACTCGAATTTTGTTAATATCTCGATATTTGAATGTAATACACGCATTTTATATACGCTCATCTGATGTAGCATCTTCAAAATTGTAATTTTTTAAAAACAATTCATTCATTTTCTTGAAATTTAATTATTTTTAATATATACTTGAAAACGTTGAATTCTTCATGAGTACATATTAAAGTCGTGGAAGCAGTTCATGTGTTGCCTTCAAAATACCTATTTTGGTCATCTTCCATTATTTTCAATTTTCTTGATTTAAATCATTTTTATTTTTTTTAACTTTTCTTTCAAATGTTTGACTTTGATTTTATTTTCTTTTTGGGGTAGACTTTTATTTTATTTTGTACACTAGTACTTGGAAAGTTAGAAACTTAAATATTCAATAATAGACTCTTACTAGTATAATTAAATATCTATAAATTAATACAATTAGGATCGACAAAAAATTATTAATTTAGCGAAATATTAAATTATCGAGTTAGTAATTTAATACATTTTAATTTTTACCGAGTCAGGACTATAAAAAATTATTATTTAAGCGATAGTATTAATTTATCGAGTTTTCACTCTATTAAATAAGTTGACCAACACATACACTAACACACGTCTTTTCTCGTACACATTCAATTCCAATGCTGCAATATTATTTAATTTATTAATGACAACTAAAAAAAACATAGGCTATAAAATTCCAAGCAATTTGGAAAAACAAAATATATTTGCTCAACTTACATTCTACTGATTTAGTTGGATTTAAAAAAATATTTATAAAATTAAATCAGCATAAAAACTTAATAATTAAATGAATAACATATATTAAATATGACTTTTGTAAATATATGTAATGATTTGCATTATGATTATATTTTAATAATTAAATCATACGTGGCATGTGCGTATTACAGGCCCTTTTCCTTTTTTCTTCTTCTTGTAACAAATAAGGGTAATTTAATCACAACACGTTAATTACAAAAATAATAATAAAATAATATTTTTAATAAATACAGAGAAAACGTACCGTGAAGATGAAGCTGTAGCCTCTCTTGAGAACATCAAGCAGAAAAAAAGTCCTCCGCCACATCATCTCTATAAACTCATCCGACATGTAAACCTTCTCTCCGGCGAACCGATCTCCGCCGCCGTCGCCTCCGCCGGCGAGTCTGTAGCAATTCAGCCGCCGGAAGAGGCACCGTTCATGGGCGGTCTCGTCCATCGAGACCACCAGTAAACGGTCGACAAGGGGCCGGGTTTCTTCCCCGGCCCAAAAACCCTCGAGAAAAAGATCGAACATCGTCGGGTACTCGTCTTCGTGTGGCTCCACGTAAGCTTTGTTGATAATGGCGATTATCACCGTCTTGTTCGCCCCCGCCATTGATGCCCTCTCCAGAGCTTTCTCGAGTTCATCCTTTTCCTCATACGCCTGTAGCTTATAAAAGAAAAAAAAATAATCAAGAACAGAGAAAAATAATTATATATATGTATGTATGTATATATGTATATACTTACAGAGTTTGAATGATTGTGTGAAGAAGAAGAAGGGAAGGGGTTATAATAATTGGAGAAGGGTTTCGAAGAACAGAGAAGAACGAGGGTTGCGATGAATAACGAGACGATTGCCAGATTTTTTATGGAGTTTTTCGGGTAATCCATGTTTGGTTTTTCTGTAATAATTTTTTGCATTGACTTGTGTATGTATATGTGTATGTATGTATGGAGGGGGTAGGGTGGGGGGTGGGTGAGGGGTAGACGTGGGGAAAGAAGAGTTGGAGAGTCATGCAAGGCACATCTTGAAATTTTCATGAATCTATTATTTATTTTGTTAGAGAATATTATATTATACAACTCTTGTAATATTAGAATTCTAGTATTATTGAGTTACCTAGATAAGTTATGATTTAGTTACCTGGTCAAACTCTATTACCTAGCAATATTTCTCTATATATATTCCATGTAATCAACCCATAACATAATGGGGTTTCTTTTACGTAATATTATTTCTCTCTCCTTCTCCTATTCTATTCTTCCTATATATTTAATGTTTGGTTTCTAACTTTTGTGTGGAATTACATTTTAATCCTCAAACTAGGACAATAACATGTGATATATGTACTATCTGCGTTTCTTGTTAAGTGTCGTTTAAGATAGATGAAAATAAGTCGGTGATTGTAATAAATATTATTCATTTCGATAGGAAAAACCCCAACTTGCCCTTACACGTGTTAAGAATGTTGTTTCTTTTTATCTCACTACCTATATGAGTACTCACTACTCAATAATGATAGAGGACAAATTAGTAAAAAAAAAAATTGATTCTGGTTGGAAAGTGTAAAGTGACAGTTAATATAAGAAGTAAAATTTATCCTAAAAGGAAATTTTAAAACAAACGAATTAATTACGAAGCAGTTAACCTTCTAACACTCTAGAATATTTCTAAATTTGAAGAATATTTCTAAATTTGAAGAGTGTTATTACCCGAAGTTGGAAAACATGTATTATTTACCCTTTATGTACACCTAAATACACACATCTATATTGGTGTGTGTAAATCAACTATAAGAATTCATCTGATGTAATCTTTAACCGGTGTAGTATAGAAATAACCTATTTGTCAGTAGGAGGTCCCAAATATGTAAAGATGGTGGCATGGAATAATTTGGATTAATATTCCTTCAACCTTTAATTTAATAAATAGTATTTATTTTCCTAATCAAAACGTGATTCACTTTCATAGTATATGTATACAAGTGTAGTTATGCTTTTGACATTTTGCATCACAATTAGAAAAAAAAATAGCAAATTATAAATATAATAGTAGAAATTAAAGTGGGGATAAATTGCCATATTAGCTCGTTTGTTATTAATATTTTTTTTTTTCATTTTAATCGAATGATAAATAGATGGTTAGTCGTGTGAAGAAATGACGAATCTTTTACCACGTCCTGTCCTTAACTCATCTTTTAATTAATATATATATATATATATATCTGTGTGTCAGTGTGTGTGTGTGTGTGTGAGAGAGAGAGAGAGAGAGAGGATTTGTTTCTCAAGAAAAGAAAAGTGAGGATCTGGATTTGAAAAGAAAATTTCTAACGACCCTAAATGGGATTAATTTAAAATTCACCATTACACCTTCAAAATATTGAAATAGTGAAAAAATGTGGGGCTAATATTTACAATTTGCACTCTTGTATCATAACCACTATCTTATTTACCCCCTTAACTACTAAATATGACAAAATAGCCCCTACCGTTAGTAATTTATTGTGAAGTGTTGACCGGATAATGGCTCCGATAGCTGGTGAACTTTCCGACGACCAAAAGAGTAGGGTTTAGAAGGTATTTTATATTTCATATTATATATATACTTTGTGAATAATTGAATCAATATTTACAAATCACAAAATAATGAGTTGTCAGAAGACGACTATTTATCTAATGTAAGGGTAAAAATGTAACTTTAGATTTTAACGGAGTTAGACTTCTTATAGTTGACTGTGTTATGGGGCTATTTTGTCGCTTTTAGTAGTTTAAGGGGGGTAAATGAGACGGTGGTAATAGTATAAGGATGCAAATTGTATTTAAAAAAAAACATTTTTTGTTTTTTTTAAATAACTAAAATAAACAAAGATGCAATAAGCAGAAGAGCAAATGAAATGAAACCAATACAACAAACCAAATGAAGGTTAATTAACAAAAGGAGACAACACAAAGCACTTCCATTTTGTCCTAACATTAATATAAACAAAACAAAAAATTAAAAAAAAAAAAAAAAAAGGACAATTGATCTCAGCTTTAAATTTCACCAAAATCGTCGATTAGAGAAGGCGGCACGATTTATATCTCGTCGTGTGTTTCTTGATTTTCGGAGGGCGGAGAACCACTTTTATCGCCGCATCAAATACAGCTTTCACATTCTGCTGTGTCTTTGCACTGCACTCAATATAAGCTACTGCTCCTATTTGCTTCTTCAGCTCTTCACCCTATACAAAAACAACAAGTCAAATTTGCTATGTGTGTGTGTGTGTGTGTATGTGTATATGTATGTATATATGTATATGTATATATATA